AAGTCTTGATGAAATGATAGTAGGCTGAGAGGTGAAGCTCCCACAAATTGAACACTATTTGTGTAAATGGCATTACCCTCGAACTATCCTACGTTGCTCATTATGGTAGTATTTTGAAACAGTAGGTGTGAGGCAATAATCATTGCAACCAGTGTGTTAAGAGTGTGTCGCAGTAAGATCATATGATGCGGACATCAACATAACTAGTCATGAAATGAGAATTCCCATCAGTCCAGAAACATATGACATAATTTTATTAAAACTTTGTCAAGGAACTTATCCCTAAGTTCCTATTGTTACGGAGACAATCCGAATCGATAAATACTGTGTACTTTCTTCGACTTTAACTCCGAAACAGCAACATTGTGAGAAGGAATTTATGTTTGGCAGTTAAAGCATAGAATAATACGATGCTACAAACAAATGTTTATACAAATTTATTATGTAATTTTATTCGTTATTGTTCGTCTTCGTCGAACCTGTACACGATCGAACGATTCGCGCCTTCGAGTTACCCACCAGTGGCTACCAGTTCAGCAAACATACCTCTATCAGATAGTTCCGGTAAGGATTCAGTAAGGATGACACATAGTGGTGTGTAGAGAGGTACTTTTCCAAGAACTTTCTCTGAATGTCAAATTATCTTCGATGATGGCCATACCTCCTATGGTCCTCTGCCTTGGAAAACAAGAATTTTGTGGCGAGCATGACGGAGGGTAACAGAATACCTACAGTGTTATTAAGTCTTGGTTATATGTAATAAAAAGTTTAGTTTCATGGCAGGAGTAAACAGTGCACATCAAAATCAAATTACTTTGATTTGACTAATCGGGGAGCTCAGCATTACAAATGGATGCTTGTCATCGTTGAAAATGTCTCCTTGATTAGGTTTTTGACTTCTCTGTGGAAAATGTATTGATAGGGAGGAATAAAAAATGCATATATAGAGAGATGACTCATCAGAAGCTTTGCCAAGCTATTGATGGTTATGCACACAGGTGTAACCACACTGTATGAGGAAGTCCTTATAAAATGGTAATTCATATTTAATTGGTGGTTCTTTCAGATACCCATCAAAACCAAAGCTCTCCCTTAGTAATACATTGGGTATATGCAACTAGTATTTGCCACAGCTGGAGAAATAGAGAATACAACCATTTCACATGTGTATAACCAACTCGATGAGAATCCGGGACCAGTTTTTGCAGCATATTAGAGATATATACAGGGTATGATTCATTTTACTACATATATATCGCAGATACACTTCTTTGTGAGTTAAGTACCACTTTTCACATTTCTACAGGCAACTACAAACAATAATGGACAATGTCCCAAATGGCGGTATCAAAATCCTGATGGGCGATATGAATGCGAATCTGGGAGGAGACAACACAGGAAGAGAACCCACCATGGGTCGAGAGGCCCTCAGCAAAATGAACGACAATGGTGAACTCTTCTCAGACTTCGGCGCCTTCAATGATTTGGTGATTGGTGGTAGTGTGTTCAAACACAAGGATATAGACAAGGCGACATGGATTTCACCAGATGGAAACACCAAGAATCAAATAGACTTCACCTCAATTTCAAGAAAGTGGAGACGGAGCCTACTGGACACAAGGTCGAGGATAGGAGCAGATGTGGGTTCAAACCACTATCTAGTAGAAGAGACTTTCAAGGGGAAGCTAAAAGCCTCGAGGATAGCTGGGGATAGGCCACAATGCAAGTTCAACACTCAATTACTGAAGGACACAACCACAAAAGACACTTTCACTGCAACTGTCAGAGCAAAGCAGGAAACACTACGTGACATCACTGAAGAATCATGCGTGGAAGAACATTGGAAGTCTCTGAAGGCGATTCTCAACGAAACGTGTTCAACGGTTCTAGGAAGAAAGAAGAGACAAGACAAGGAATGGCTCTCAACGGACACTTGGAAATTAATATAAGAGAGGAGAATGGTGAAAGAGAAAATGATTCAATGCAAGGACGGACAGGAGAAGGAGATGCTGAGCTCAACTTACAAAGCACTGGACAAAGAAGTGAAGAAGAGTGCTAGGAAGGACAAAAGACGATTCTACGACAATCTGGCCACTGAAGCTGAGAAGGCAGCAGGCAAAAGGTACCTGAGGACATTATATCAGATAACCAAATCTCTATCCGGGAAGAGACCAACACAAGCGAAACCTATAAAAGACAGCCAAGGGAGCACAATTACCAAGGAAGAGAAACAGATTAAACAATAGGTGGATCACTTCAAAGGACTCTTGAACCGACCACCACCTGCAACCCGTCCAGAAATACCAACAACAGCGCGCACACAACTGCAAGTTGACACCAATCCTCCAACGAGAGCTGAAGTCTTGAATGCAATCAAGATTCTGAAAGCTGGAAAAGCAGCCGGACCAGATGGAATATCCCCTGAAGCACTGAAAGCAGACCCAGAGACTACAATAGACATGCTGACTCCATTATTGCAAAAGGTCTGGAAGGAGGGAAAGGTGCCTACTGACTGGAGGAAAGGTTACCTCGTGAAACTACCAAAGAAGGGCGACTTAGGCCTCACTCTGCAAGAACTGGCGAGGAATCATGCTCCTATCGACGCCAAGTAAAATCCTGAGTCGCATCATCCTGGAGAGATTAAAGGACGCACTGGAGACAGAACTCCGACCAGAACAAGCTGGATTCAGGAAAAGGCAAATCATGTTCTGACCAAATTGCAACTCTACGCATCATCATCGAACAAAGCATGGAATGGCAATCAAACCTCTATCTCAACTTTATAGACTTTGAGAAGGCCTTCGACAGCGTTGATCACGAAGTAATTTGGAAATTACTCGAGTACTATGGCGTACCCCAAATATTCATCAACCTTATTCAACAGCTGTACGACAACGGCACATGTCAAGTGATCCACAACGGAAAACTCAGCGAGGCGTTTGGAGTAAACACATGAGTCAGACAAGGGTGGTTATTATCACCAAAAATATTCCTAATTGTGGTGAACTGACTGAATTATGCGTCAGACGGTGTGAAACGAGAAGACAGGAATATCCTGGACAGACAAACGTGAAGAACCTAGAAGACCTGGATTTCGCGCGTGGATGATTTATGCTTGATGTCACACAAAATCGAAGACTTACAAGCGAAAACCGACAAACTGGTCGAAGAAGCAGCCGGCGGAGACAGGACTCCAAGTGAACACAGACAAGACGGAGGTTATGAAAATAACCAGCCAACCACCAACAACAACATCCAACGTCAATCACCATCAAAGCGGGGGAATTGAAAGAGGTCACTTCATTCACTTATCCAGGGAGCATTGTCTCAGCTGCACGCAGTCGGAACGGATGACGATGTCAAATCCAGCGAGAATCGAGAAGGCGAGAGAGAAACACATTCATCAACCAACCTGAAACCAACCTGGAAATCTTCGTCACTCGGCATCAACAACAAAATTCAGTCGGATTTTCAATACGAACGTCAAGTCAGTCAGTTTTTCTATACGGATCAGAAACTCGGCGGGCGGGTCACAAAGATCAGGTATTTCCAACAGCCTGTTGCAGAACTTTATCAACCAACAACTGTCATCGCTGGCTCTATACTGAAGATCAGATGGCTGGGCCGGAAAGAATCACCAACAAGAAACTATGGGAGCAGTCAAAACAAGACCTGATCGCCCAACGAATATGCGGGAGAAAATGGAGATGGATTAGACACTCGCTGAGGAGACCGCTGGGTGACATCGCGCGCGTGTCACACCGTCGCTCGAGTGGAACTAGGCCGAAAGGGAAGCGGCGAGTGGGACGTCAGTGCAAGGGTGATATGGAGGAGGTCGTGTGAAGAGGAGTTGAAAGAGTATGGACTAACATGGATGCAAGTGAAAAGTACAGCAGAAGGAAGACAGAAGCAAGTGGAGACGTGCAGTTAAAGCCCTATGTTCCACTGGGATCCCGAGGGAACAATAATAATTTCACTTAGAAAAATCTGATCAATCGTTTCAAGATAGTCTGAAGTTGAAGTCTATTCTATACAGTTGCCATTTTCATATCAAATAAGAAAGGAATGAAGAGTGTGTTTTTCATACACAATAATGTCTGTTGGAGACATTTCAAACAAACACAATATTGTAGGCGAATTTAAACTTTAAGCACCACTAACTACCAGTGGTGCAACCGCACGAATAACCTTGATACGTCCACTGAGCAAGTTAGTTAGGCCTGACAAATAATGTTGTCATCACTAAAATGTGCTCATCGAAGTGTTTTGCTATTAAATGTGATATTTGGCAAGTCTCAGCCTAGGTTTTGGAAAGATTAAGTTACACTTTATGCCAAAGAGAAATTAGAGTTAGGTTAACCTCATAAAGCGGACATTAGGGTTGATTCGAGTTAGTATACAGTTGGTTAAGGGATAATTCCACGTCAGGGTTAGGTTCGGGAAAGATAGGGCTATTGTTAGAGTCAGAAGACCTAAATAATTACATGCATGGGATGTGGTTAAATTACGCTGTTGATATAAGAATAAAACATGTGCACTGTGGTAAACTGTAGTCCCACTCTGGGTAACATTTATTTTGATAAAGTCTCAGTGTTATACAGCAATATTTACTGATGACGTTTTGACCACATTTTATTGCTCGGAAAATATTACTGTATAACACTGTGAGACTTTATCAAAATAAATTTTACCCACAATGGAATTATACTTTGTTGATACTCCAACCTAAAACTGAGAGCTATTTTTATCACATTTGAGAGGAAGGTACCCTCTGTAATACTTTTCTACAGTTTTTATGCATTATTTCATAAATATGTGTCCTCCGTACACAAAAATGCTTCCTTCATGTGAATGATGCATTCGAGGCCATTCGCTGGTTGGTATTAAGTGGTGCTTAAAGTTTAACTTTGCCATATTGTACATCGGAGCGCACACTATTTGCATTCTCAAGGACGTTAGTGCAACTTCTGTAATAGTTGGGTTGCCGGCTAGTTTTTGAAATGTCGCAGCTGGATGTCATTGAAGGTTAGGTGAAACACCTAGTTCTTTTACCGAATAGGTCAACCGGACTATACTGAAATGAAAGGGAGGAGATCTGAATGTCCACCACAAACAGATGGTAGTTGTCGTATAGTTAAAGTGAATAGCCCTCAGTTGACCAGCTACTGCAAAAATGACATCAGGTGAGATGTAAATATTGTTAAATAATTTTTTTCAGTACTGCAAAGTACAACTGTTTCACTTTCCTCCCTAAATTCTTAGTCGAACAGTTTCGCAGATATGCTAATATATTTTTCCTAGTCATTGCTCTTCTCCAAGTAAGTCTCTACTGCAGTGTAATAATTTTTAGCAAATTCCTGGAGTTTCACCCACCGGAAGATTTACAACGCTTGTCCCTTTGTGTATAATACTAACTGTTTCAGCTATCAAGGAAATGATTGAGGATTTCGTATGTTGTTGCATAATTCGAAGTATATACTGATTGTAGAGAAGGCACCGAGCTGACGACGCCACGAACAATGAAAAAACTCTTGGTGAGTACCTTATTCGGTGTTGCTGTTTCATAGGCTGTCTTGATGCAAGCTATTAAGTATTAGTATCTAAAAAGATAATCAGTATCCAGGTGTTACGTATTTCCTGAAATAATTTAAGTACCACCAAATATGTTAATGGTGGGTAGAATGCGAGTAATTTTCTTGAAGAATCTGTCGCTTACAGAGTGGAACGTTCGGAAAAATCTTGCTTTCATTTTTCATGAACACATGGGTTATTTTAAACAACTTATAATTAGTATCTAAAGGCTATAATATGTGAACGTGATATTGAATGTGATAACGAAGTTCTATTACTACTAATGATAGAAATTTGCTTGTCATACACCTTACCCTGGTATTGGGTTTTCCATTGGTTTTTTATCAGAAGTTTTGTTAATTCTGGAGTATTTTCTTTGAGATCTACTTAACCTTCAACCCTAACAAATTCGATAAATTCTAAATAGCATAATTTGGCCAAATAGTTCACTTATATTAGTCGTCTTTTAAATATTTTTATCTGATTGGCTAAGGGTGCTTTCGCACAAGTGTGCAAGTGATGCTCGAATTTACAATTCAGAATAAGATGCATATCCCTGATGAAACCAGTTGTCGAGATAGTTACTCTCTAATGTCAGGAAACTGAATTGTAATTATAACAACATAAATGTTCGGACTTATGTACTGTGATGTTGGATTTTATTTGGCATTATGATATAGGATTTCCTGTAAATATAAGTGCACACAATATCCATATGTATTGTTATGTTTTGTCAAATAACAATAAAATCTCCCCCGTATTTAAAAATGGCTAAATCTCCCATTTGTTTTGAATGGTTCGTACTGCTTCTTATTTTTTTTTCAGTGTTGCGTGACCAAGTCTGGGTCGAGACATGTTGGAAAGATCTAATGGTTGGGGATCTTGTAAAAGTTTGTAGTAATCAAGGAATCCCTGCCGATCTTGTTCTTTTGGCATCTAGTGAACCCCAAGCTATGTGTTATATTGAGACGAGCAATCTAGATGGAGAAACAAACTTAAAACTACGCCAAGTAAGTTTTATACTGGATTGATATGTATTTGTAGTTCATTTTCCGTTGGTTCCAAACATTTTGTAGGATTTTAATCCCCTCTACTGATTAGGAAAAATTGAGTTACTGACTTAATGATAATTCAGTTGTATAGCATCGCGGTGGTGAATGGCTTACTTGTATGTACTGTCGACAAAAGTTACTGAGTGATTTCACCCAAATCTGTCTTCCGAACACAAAGTGGTTCATTTATTTAGACAAGAGAATTAAATGGTGTGACAGCAGCGAGAGGAGTTACACGGTGTTAGTTGAGGGGTAATTCCAAATGTGACTGCACAAATACATTGCCATTATCCCAACTTAATTATTAGTACTTTCTCTAAAAGTTTTCGTTGGACACTAACTAAAGGATCGGGCGAGGAACGCTTGATATACTATACTGGAAATTCAAAAGTTACTGGCACTGGCGGAAGCTTTCATTCTTATTATGTTGGTTAACCGTTCTGTTTTATTTGGTAACCTATTTTGGCACTGTGACCTGAACTTTGCGCGTAAAATTGGTTGTTTGAACTAACTTGGATCGTCTGTGCTGATGATTTATTCCGGCGATGTATGTCAGATGGTCTTTTCATGAGTTAACCATAAATATTAAATAAAAATAAATACGTACCAAAAGTAATCGACAACCTGTTAGCATTCATGTGGATATAAGATTCGGAAGCATTATTCATTACGATGTAAGATTTCCGTATTTTATTGTATAATGTCATGTAATTGTATAGGTAGTTATTTTGGATGAATAGATTTTCAACCCTTTTTGTTGTACCTAAGTTTTTCACCGTTTTTCGACTGTATCTTGTTGAAGCATCATATTTGTGAATACTTATCAAAGTTAATGATTTTGTATATATTTGTCTACACATCATAGGCAGACAGCTTGTTTGAGAATGTTCGATGGTGATTTTTATTTTTTTTTATTTTATCTATTCCTAAATCTCAGTCTTTGTATTTTTAGGGTTTACCAGCTACAAGTCATCTCTTAACTGCTGGTGAGCTGAGTTCTTTTGAGGCTGTTGTTGAATGTGAATTACCGAATAGGAAGCTAGATGAATTTGTTGGTGTCATTCGAACCACTAATGGAATGTAGGTCAAAGTGATTTTTCAACTATTTGTTCGTATATGTCACATAAATTACATCTTCCTACTACTGCAGCCTACAGTTTCTCTTATCTTAGGCATATTTTTTGGGATTTTGGATAAGCTATTTTTCCAGGAGGACTGTATTCAATGGATATATACGAGTCAGTTGTAAAGTTTATATATCTAAGGTATTCACAGTGACGAAACATGCTACACTGTAACTAACGGCCTTTGGTTTGCAGTGTCAGGTATTATCTGTCATTCTGAGAAAAATCTTTTATCCCTGTAGAGTCACAAAGGGTTCATTTGAGTTTCAACTAACCACTAAAGTGACTTAAGTGTTGACAGTTACATGGGTTTTTCGAGGTTATTTTTCCCCAGCATTATTCACTTACGCAAATGAAGCATGAAATGTTTTGTTCGTTGATATAAACATGTACCACGATATCTTATCTTCTGTCTGTTGTACTTCACTGGCTAAAATTTAATGACTGGAAGGCATAGGTAAATGATTTATGATCTGTCGAATTGGTCCAAACAAATTCCCTCGTGTATCTTACTCTTACTTTCGGAAGCATCATTATTTCACATCAATTTGACGTTTATGTGCGATATTTGTATCTAATTATGCATTAATCTGCTTTCATCAGTTTCTAGTTATTGTGTAAAACGAAGTTAAACTGTCACTGCCAGAGTTATGGTATACCAGAAGTTAACTTTTAAGAGCCAATCAGGTTTAGCGGACTCTGTAAACGTCATTCCAAGTTAAATTGTTCAAAATTGGAACAATATTCTGCTTTCCCAAAAATCCATACTGTTAGATAGGGTTATGGGTAGGTAAAACAATTTCAAGGATATTAATAGATCCTGAGGCACTGTGACCTACAGTCACCTGGATAAATACATCTATCGCGCATGGCATGATTTCCCCTTAGATTTTCCTTGAGGTAAATAGGATACGTTCTCACAACACAATGGAGACAACTATCCAGCGTAAAATTATGTTTGCAACGTTTTTAAACACATTTTTTAATACAAGGTGTAAGGAACGTAATTCCGGAATTTGATGTAGGTAGACAGATTATTCAGTGTCAAAAAAACTAATTATATATAGTGGAATTAGATAAGAGGGTTTAGAGTTCAGATTACTATTGGGAAACGCAGATTGGTTAGAGGCATAATATAGGGTCAAGGTCAGAGAACAGAGTGAATTTACACATGTGGTGGAGAGTTTAAGAGGGTGGGGGTGAATAGTGAAGTAAGTAACAAAAAACAAAAATAAATAAAATAGGATTAGGGTTACCAGGGTAGTGAAAGATTAGTCACACTATCTTTCTGTGTACAGAGGTCTGGTCGAAGTCTCTTGATAGCGATGGCTTCTGCGAAACGAAGTAGCCATGGGTTTCTTTGCGTATTGATTATTTTGAAGGCATGGCTGATTTCTACCGTGTGTCCTGTGTCAATTAAATGTCTGGCGATTGCACTCGATAACACTTTTCTTCCTTTTGTATGGAGGCTCTTAGGAATGTGCTCAGAAAATCTAGTAGATGCTCTCCTCTCAGTCCTTCCTATGTACTTGCTTCCGCAGGTGCACGTGAATTGGTAAATGCAGTTGGAGTTGACGTGAGTAGGGTACTCATCTACTTTTGACTGGGTTAATGAGCACACAGTGTTGTGAAATAGGATCAGTCTGGCAGCTGGAAATGTTCTTTTTAATGCACTTGAGATTCTTTTTTGTGTTCTTGTGGATACGTCTTCACCTTTGTAGGCTAGGCAGATGAAAACTGGTTTCTTTTCAACGGTGTCGGGTTTCGGTTTGTGGGTTTCCTCATTTCTATACTTTAATATGAACTTTCGGGGATATCCATTCTCGATGAGGTTCTTTTCGATGACGGCAAGTTCTTCTTCAATAGTGTCTTCCGAACATATTTCTTTGGCTCTGCTGAAGAGCGTTTTTACTAGACCTCGTTTGTAGCTGGTTGGGCAAAAGCTGTGATAATTTAAGTATTGACCAGTCCAGGTTTCTTTCCTGTAGATAGATTTTTGAATCGTCCCGTCGTTTCTTCTTTTTATGTTGACATCAAGGAAATGGAATTGGTTGTTTTTTTCGTAGTCGATTGTGAATGCAATATTGGGATGAGCTGCATTGAGTTTCTCAAACATTGCGAACGCGTGTTCTATATCATTGCAGACTACGAACGTGTCGTCGACATATCTGCAGTAATAGGTGGTTCTATCTATTTCTTTTTTCATTCGAGTCTGTTCAAGATGAGCCATGAATATGTCAGCAAGAACAGGACCCAAAGGTGAACCCATAGCCACCCCGTCAATCTGCCGGTACAGCTGATTGTTGAATCGGAATTGAATATTCTTTGTGCATAGAAGTAGCAATTTTCGTAGCTCGTTTTCTGGAAGAGGAAGTAGTTCGGACTGTTGGCATATGATTTTAACCGTTTCTTCGATGGGTATGTTGGTAAACAGTGAACAAACGTCGTATGACACGAGAAGTCTATCCGAAATATCGAGTTGATCTAATTCTTGTGAAAACTGAAAAGAATCTTTGATACTGTGAGTTGCCAGCTTTTTTCGAATGGGTTCCAGCTTTTGGGCCAACCATCTGGCCAGTTTGTGACATGGTGATTTCACCATTGATATTATAGGTCTCATTGGTACATCACTTTTGTGAACTTTGGGTTGACCGTACATGACTGGCACACGCGAACCCCTTGGTTTAAGGTCGTTGTAAGTGCTGTTGTCTATTAGCCCTTCTTTAAGTAGTCCTTTAAGGTGCTTGTTTACTTTGTTTTCGAAGGCCGTTGTTGCTTCTTTTTTTGACGTATCAACTTGGAATCTTATTGTATCATCGAGAATGGTATTCATTTTCGAGATGTAGTCTCGGCGGTTCATTATTACGACACCTGAACCTTTGTCCGGTTTGAGAATGACGATGTTTTCATTGTTTCGTAGGTTTTTTATTGCTGTTCTGTGTTCTTTAGTAAATAATTTTGAGTGTGCTGGAGGAGAAATCTGATATTGTTCTGCAATATCGATCATTTTGGACTTAAACCAGACTCTTTTATCCTCGTCTATGGGTTTTAGGTCGGAAAGTTGACTGTATAAATACTCAAACTGCGTTTCTGTATCGATAAACGAGTTTGGTACGTGATACTTAAATCCTAAGGACAGAGCTTCAGTTTCAATTTTATTAAGTTTCACATCTGATAAATTGTATATGTATTTTTCTGGGCACTGTGGAAATTCTTCTTGTAGTTGTTCAACTACTAAAGATTTTCTGAGCTTCTTTCCATATGAGTTCGCTGTTTGCGTTTGTAAATCTTGCATGAAGTTAATGAACTTTATACGACACACCAAATTAAGGCTTTCCAGTAGACTGTCGAATTTCACTAGATTTGACTATAAAGCGGTGATGTGTTTTTGAGATGAGTCGATATGTGATTTAGTGATGCGGCGCAGGTTCTTTAAAGTTGGAGGTAGTTTCGTCGATCTGATGAGTTTCAAGAATTGGTGTGGAAAACAACCTATCTCCAGACACTCTTCGTAGAATTTAATCTTGCAGGCTTCTCTCGCTATTCTGCAACGTAACGTCACTAATTGATTCAGTGACTTGATTGATTTTTTAGGGAGACGTCGTTTCAAAAATTTCATACAACCGGTTCCCTTTATTAGTTTGAAGAGAGAAAGAAAGAAAGGGAACTGGTTGTATGAAATTTTTGAAACGACGTCTCCCTAAAAAATCAATCAAGTCACTGAATCAATTAGTGACGTTACGTTGCAGAATAGCGAGAGAAGCCTGCAAGATTAAATTCTACGAAGAGTGTCTGGAGATAGGTTGTTTTCCACACCAATTCTTGAAACTCATCAGATCGACGAAACTACCTCCAACTTTAAAGAACCTGCGCCGCATCACTAAATCACATATCGACTCATCTCAAAAACACATCACCGCTTTATAGTCAAATCTAGTGAGATTCGACAGTCTACTGGAAAGCCTTAATTTGGTGTGTCGTATAAAGTTCATTAACTTCATGCAAGATTTACAAACGCAAACAGCGAACTCATATGGAAGGAAGCTCAGAAAATCTTTAGTAGTTGAACAACTACAAGAAGAATTTCCACAGTGCCCAGAAAAATACATATACAATTTATCAGATGTGAAACTAAATAAAATTGAAACTGAAGCTCTGTCCTTAGGATTTAAGTATCACGTACCAAACTCGTTTATCGATACAGAAACGCAGTTTGAGTATTTATACAGTCAACTTTCCGACCTAAAACCCATAGACGAGGATAAAAGAGTCTGGTTTAAGTCCAAAATGATCGATATTGCAGAACAATATCAGATTTCTCCTCCAGCACACTCAAAATTATTTACTAAAGAACACAGAACAGCAATAAAAAATCTACGAAACAATGAAAACATCGTCATTCTCAAACCGGACAAAGGTTCAGGTGTCGTAATAATGAACCGCCGAGACTACATCTCGAAAATGAATACCATTCTCGATGATACAATAAGATTCCAAGTTGATACGTCAAAAAAAGAAGCAACAACGGCCTTCGAAAACAAAGTAAACAAGCACCTTAAAGGACTACTTAAAGAAGGGCTAATAGACAACAACACTTACAACGACCTTAAACCAAGGGGTTCGCGTGTGCCATTCATGTACGGTCAACCCAAAGTCCACAAAAGTGATGTACCAATGAGACCTATAATATCAATGGTGAAATCACCATGTCACAAACTGGCCAGATGGTTGGCCCAAAAGCTGGAACCCATTCGAAAAAAGCTGGCAACTCACAGTATCAAAGATTCTTTTCAGTTTTCACAAGAATTAGATCAACTCGATATTTCAGATAGACTTCTCGTGTCATACGACGTTTGTTCACTGTTTACCAGCATACCCATCGAAGAAACGGTTAAAATCATATGCCAACAGTCCGAACTGCTTCCTCTTCCAGAAAACGAGCTACGAAAATTGCTA